TTTTAGTTTTACTTGCCCTTTGTGACCTCTTCTTGCCCAAAGTTGTTTACATGCAAGGAGATGCAGTTGTCAATTATTTTCTTTTGTGGCTTTGCACAGAAACCTTTCCTTCATTCCTTCAACTGGTTTTCCTCCCCATGCAATATTCATATGTCTATTTCTAAGAGAGGACTGTGTCTAGTGGGCCGTGAAAACTTCCTAGACTTGGCAGACTGGGCTGTATGATGTTCAGCCTCTAACATGAAAAAATCCCCATTGAAAAGACGGTGTGGCAACTTTCTTGCAGGCAGGTCAGACTCCTCACAGAGATATTTGACAGTGACTAAGGAGGAAGAGTCTCTATATCTCTCCAGCATCTGCAGTATGGATGGAACTAATTAATTCATTGTCTAAAGAACAATTAAATATTCCCAAGACCACAGGAATTAGCATAAAAAGATTTTCAGCTACATATTAACTTATGCAATATTATTGGTGGGAAACTTAAGGGGTCTTAAAAGTTAGGTCTTACTAGTAATAAGTATTTGAAAATAAACACAGCAGCCTGGTATTGAATGGCTTGCCTGTTCCCTATCCCTCCTCCCTTATCAGCACCCTTAGGTGTCTCGCTACAGATCAGAATGGCCCTGTGCTATCTCATCTGCTGTTTATACTTATTTAAACACAGAGTTAGAGGACGTATAAGTTCATATTTAATTCTTTCAGTTAAATGTACATGTTTTGTGTCTTATGATGAATATTGTTAAAAGGACATGAAAAAAAGAACTATTTCACTGCTTTGATTTAGCTATTATTTAAGGCCTTTTTCCCTTATAATATTAATTAGCAAATTTGGAGGTTATTTTATGTGTCTTGAAAAAAAGGAGAAAATAGTCTCTTTCTATTGCATACAGCCAACTCAACAAGAACCAGACTTGGAGAAACACACAAAAAATCAAAAAAAATTCAGCTGATGGAACAAATTATCTAGATATGGAAGATGAGAATCCTTTTTTATTTGTGTGGTTTGGGGTGGGGGCAGGGATGCCTAGAAGGATTTTTTCTAAATAGTGTGCAAGTCTGTAAATATGGCAAAGTGCACACAACCTATAGCCTATTAAAATTCTGGTTAGAAAGACCAGTGAGACAAAAATAAATTCCTTATTCTTTATTCCATAAATTTCTTCTGTGTCCTTGAACATATAACAAGGACTAAGGTACAAATAGGATACATTTCCTAGACTTATTTTTTGTCAAAAAATTGCCTCATAGTTTGCTTTTGTTTTCTCAAGCAGGCAATCTATATACAAATAAAAATAACTTCTAAGGAAATGAATTTCAAAATGAATGTTAGGCAATAATCTAAATATGTAGAGTTTAGTTAAGAAGTTCTGTTACTAAGATGTATATTGTATTGGTATAGTTGACATAGTAATTGTAGTATGTATAGCAAAAAATAGAGGATTACTGATTACAACTGTACGTGAATAGAATTAGAAAAACTTGATATTCTTAATCTAAATGGAAGCATTCTTACTATAAATTATTTATTTGCTTTGAATAGCTAAAAACCTGTATCAAAAACATGAACTTTAAAACTACTTAAAAAAGATACGTGGGGAAAGATTCTTCACATAAAAATGAATAAAGAACGTGTAATTTCCTGTAGATCCTTGCTGGCTAGTAGATTTTTAAGTGACATTTTAGTGCCTGGGGAAGTATCCCCAATAATTTTCACTTTTGTTTCATTCCACATTTTCTGCTTGTCAGTAATTTAAGCAGATTTGTGGCAATGGTCACAGTTTTCTGGGATTAAGAAAACTCTATAACAAAATGGCCACAACAGATCTGAAATGCTTCCTGTTTTGTTGTTGTACTCTTGACCAACTCTTTTGTAAACCTCACTGAAAAATGGCTTGTAGTTTCTCCTTGCTTTTTGAAAAACAGTTGAATCTGTGTTCTAAGTGTAAAGAAGGATTGACTGATGCACTTTGGACAGATGTGAGAGAGGATTCTTTCTCACAACCCTAACTTTATTTTTAACATATTGTTTGAAGAATCAAATATTAATTTAAAACTTAAGAAGTAAACTCCTGTTGGTATAACTTGAATGCTTAAGATGGTAATCAGCCAAGATGACAGATAACACTTTTATTTAGGGCATCCAGTGTAAGCAGAGAAAGTAACTGCCCTGTAAGTGAATTGTAAGTCTAAGGATGGCTCCTTTTTTGTGAAATGAGGAAAGTTGTCCTAAGTGTACATTATCTCTACAGCTGGAGCTTCATTAGCAAATGCAGTTGGAATAACTAGCATATTGCAGCAGCAGAGAAACTAAGCATGGCAAGCCTTAGAGTAACAAAGAAAATAAAAGAATTCCTGTATAACATGCTTCCACACTTATCTGTGTTTTGTGGTGCTGTTTGTGCTGAACTAAAGCATCTGCTACCTCAAGTTAAGAGAGAACAAACTCAACATGGCGTGAAATTGCTGCACTGCCATTCACATTCATTAGAGTTATATTGTTACCAGCCACGGGCATGACTGGCTTTTGCATGAATAATAAAACAAAATGCTGCTTTGTGAATTTACCTTAAAACATTACAAGGCGTAGTACTAACCTTGAGCCTGTGTCACATATATTCAAGAGTGGGTTTGTCTTAGAGTTAACTTTCCTTACCAAACAATAGGGTCACCAGTAGTACTCAGAAGTTGGGAAGAGGTAATGTCTGAGGCCTTTGGAAAGGGCCTTAAATTGATTGCGTTACATCAATTTACTTGTGCTAGGTTGTTAAAGATATTAAAATTATTAAAGTGCCATTTGGCAATTATCGTCATAATAGTTGGTTCAAGCAAAAATCATCAGTGGATGTTAAAGGTAATGGGTCAGAGTTTGGTGAGGAGTAGGATATTTACACAGTTATAAAGGGAAAAAAATAGTAACTTCATAAAGGAAAAACCTGGCAGATACCTCATCCAAATGACTCAAATTGTCATGAGTAATGGGACATACTGATGTCATGTGCATTATATGATGCCCTGAGAAGACATTACTTCTGGGTTATTCCTGTCAAAAATGCATAACTCGAATCAAATTTTGGGAAAACACCATACAAACCAAATTGAGGGACAGTCTATAAAGTAAATGGCCTCTACTCAAAAATGTCAGTGTCATGAAAGACATGTTAAATAAATAACTGTTCCTTATTAAAGAAGACTAAAGAGACATGATAATTAAATACATGATCCAAATTTTCTTTCCTTTTTATGTCATTGACATTTTTCCCTTCTAGTTAGCTAGATACAGAATTGGAGTGTTTGAACAAAAAAAAGGTACTTTAAGAGTCTGTATTAAGTACTACATGCTAACCAATTGCACCACTTGGAGCATTAAGAGTCCAAATATAATATTATACTCAGTTTCCTCCATGTTTTCCTTTTCTAGTTTATGTGAATTTTAAGCAGTTGTTGCAGGTTTGGTTTGGTGTTTTTAAGCAATAGTCATGAATGTTTGGTTTCATGGCCTGCATTACATATCAAGCTATTGAAAACTCAAAACTGATAATACTTCATTGGTTTACCAAATTTTCAATCAGTGGAAGAAAGTGGAGGCCTCCATATTGTTCAAAAATACTAGAATATATAAAAATATTAGAAAAATACTAGAGTTTCATGAGCATTTAAGAAAGAAAGTAGTGATCACTAAGATGAATTCATAAAGAAGTTTGGTATGATTTTTAGATAGGTAGCTAACAGGAATGCTTTATTTTGGGGAAGGCATTTTGATGGGTGGCTGATTTCCTTGTGGACAAGATGAAAAAATTAAGTCATTGTACTTAACTGAATGAATAATTAATTGAATAACCATACCCAAGATTAATGATTGGATATTGGTCTCACAGATGGTTTCTAGTGCTGTTTTTCTAACAAGCGTGTTATCTATTCTCAGTCCTGTTCTAAACTTTAATTAATAACTTGGATAAAGGCATTGATGACACATGGATCAAATTTTAAAATGACAAAAATTTAGGAGAGATACCTAGAGCATTAGATGAATCGAACAGGAACTGAGCAGTAATGCTAGGCTGAGAATGTTAAACAGAAATCTAGCTAAATAAATCTGATAGAATAAATTCTACAGGAATAAGAAAACTAGTCTTAGTATGATGGATAAGGGGAAAAAAAACCCTCTAAGTTAATTCATGGATATTTGACCATATGTACCCAATTTATTGATTTTTTTTTCTTTTAACTATTTGGTTTAATATGTATCAGTTTGGTCCAGTCAGAAAAATGGAAACTGCACTAGTATTTCAAACATGGAGAAATGTAATACAGGAAATTGGTTGCACAGATGTTAGAAGGGCAAAAGAGGGGAAAAAAGGACATTGAGCTATTAAAGAGACAGGAAGCAACTACTACACTAAAAGCTGGGAAACAAAGGAATGGTTACTTGGAACTAAAGGGATCCCTAGTTTGACACTCAGATTTCTGAGGAGGGTACATTGTTCAGCTGCTATTGATACTGAAGTCCATACTACTGAAAGATGTTCATATATATATATTAAGAAGAAACCAAAATATTTAAATTATGTTTGAACATCCCTTCCATTTTGAATATGGTTATGAAAATAAAGCATAAGACCAATATGACCTTTATCATGTCAGTGTTCTATGCTGTTTCTCTTTGTTTGGGTTCCCCCCATCTTTAAAATGACTTTACTAGTAATATCCATCCTACATCAGATGTATTAAAAATAACCTCTCAGAAAGGATGTTTATTGAAATTTAGACGGCAATTTTTTTTTTCTTGTTAAAGCGTGGTAGATGAGTTGAGTAGCTAAACATTCTCTTTATTTGTAGGTGTGTATTCTTTTATCTTTCCCACTGATACCTTAAGCATTATTAAGTGTATTTAATATTGAGTGTTTTATGATAAGGATATTTGTCATGATCTGAAACATTGGAGAACAAGGTTTGGAATTGATTTCTGTCTTTTTTTCCTCTCCCTCTAAATTCTTCAGGTCAGTAACAGATCCAAGAGATGGAAAGAGAGTAGCACTCAAAAAGATGCCCAACGTCTTCCAGAATCTGGTCTCTTGCAAAAGGGTCTTCCGAGAATTGAAGATGTTGTGTTTTTTTAAACATGATAATGTAAGTGAAATTGATGTTTGGGGGAAACTATTTCCTAAACCTACTTCACTGAATTGGTGAAGAGCAAATGAGAGTTTAAAAGGGTATGTCCAAGTAAAATTTAGAAATTGGCTATAGTTTTATGCCAAACTCTGAAAAACAGTAAGCGTACCAGCGAGGTTATGGAATACCTATTGATAGGCTTTTAGTTCACATAGTCTTATTCAAGGGACATGCACACAACACATTTTCTAAGCTGTATTCTTTCAGTACTTTGCTTTTCCTTTTATTTATGCTCTTTATGTCTGTACGACTTTCTTAAATTTTCACTATCCAGATCGGTGGTTTTGAACCTTGGCAACATATTAGAGCCACCTGGGGAGTCCATTTTATCAAAATTTTATTTGAACATTTGAAAATTACATTATGAATTGTATGACTTGCACAAGGCCTAACCTCCAAATTAGAAAACATTGAACCTATTAAGTTTCAGATTGGCTTCTAAATTTTGGTGTTGTACTCTGCATTTGTCAGTTTGAATGTCTTTTTAAATTCTAAGACTATAAGCTATTGAATAAGTTTAAGCCCATGGAAAAGGAGTATGTATTTGTAGAAAAAATAGGTTAGTAAGAAACCACAGCCAAGAATTTTAGTAAGTGGCTTGGAAACCTGAGACATATTAAGCCTTTTTTATGACTGAACAATGAGCAAATTAAAGTGAATTCTAAGATTTATTGATTGATAGATAAATATTAATTGATGCAAAGCAAATGTTGATATTTAGCTGAGAAATAATGCTAATATTCAACACAAAAATAGAGTGTAATATTTGGTGAGTGATTAGAGTATGAATAATTGGCCCCTGGTTTTAAGTGCTTTATTTTTGTCCTTTAATATTTTTAATTATAGGTTGTTAGAGGTGTGGAAAACAGTTTCTCCTATAAAAACAGTACAGCCCTTAAGGTAACATAGGTTAGCTTATTTGTGGCTGTGTTTAGAAATGTGAAGACTCATGGACAAATAGACTCATTCTGCTTTGAGAGATAGCTTCTCCCCAACTAATCCTGAATTAAAAATTTGGTACGTGTAATATTTGCCTGGAGTTTGTTAGTATTAGAATCTGTTTTCAATTTCATATGAAAAGAAAAACTGCCTTAAATTCTTTATGTAGAACCTATGCTATTTTAATTGCTGTAATAAAAACTTTATCAGAAAAATAATGATTCCTTATGAGTCTGAGTGCTTATTTGCACAGAAATATTTAGAACTCTGGCCAAAGTTTGGGTCTCACTTTAAGGAAGAAATCTGCAAAAGCTTGAGGTATTTGGTAAATTAAATGTGGTAAATTATAAAGTGGTTCACATGAAGCTTTTTGGTTTGACTATTTCATTTTATTCATTATCCCACTTGAAATCTCTTTTCCTTAAACTTTTAAAAAAAGGATTGCTGTTTTTTAGTCAATTGGAACTGCCTAGATATGTATGTGTTGGTTTGTTTTAATAAGTTTCAAAATGCCACTTGAGTTGCTATTTTATAACTGGTTCCTCAGATTTTAGAAGTAATTTAGAATGATGTCTAGTGCTTATTTACTTATTTCTTGAATTTGCCTTAGTGTACCCACTCCAGCATCAAACAGTATAGACCTTATATACATTGTCAGAGACTCAAGTAAAGGTATCCATGGTGAAGAAATATTTCAAAAGTGGCATCAGAAATTTGCTTACTAAAGATTTCAATGGTTTATTATATTCTGACCAGTCTTGGCCTCTTTTGTAAAGGAGGAGTGATATAATAAACTGCTGTTATCTAGTTGGTACCTTTGCTCATGGCTCATTCCTATGGAATAACTAAGTTACAAACACTGTGTCAGAGTAAATAGTATAAGAAAAGAAAGAAACTGAATTCTTTTTTTTTTTATTTCAGCATTTTATGGGGGTACAAATGTTTAGGTTACATATATTGCCTTTGCCCCACCTGAGTCACAGCTTCAAGTGTGTCCATCCCCCAAGAAACTGAATTCTTGAAAATCATACCAATTAAACCACACAACCAATCCTAATGTAGTTTATAAGAACTGGGTTTTGGTGTGTCTTGGACCTTCTCTAAACACTAAATTTCTCATTTGCAAAGTGGGCATGGTAAAAGCAGAAATAACTGCATATGATTGTTACAGAAATTAAATTTTGAAAATGCATATGAATCTGTTAAAACACACACACCTCAACATCACTGTTTGAAACTCCTGGTCTCTATCATTAAAAGAATAGGCTGGGTTTGGTGGCTCACACCTGTAATCCCAGCACTTTGGGAGGCCAAGGCTGGAGGAATGCTTGAAGCTAGGAATTTGAGGCCAACCTCATCTCTCTACAAAAAAATCTTTTTTAAAAATTAGCCTGATGTAGTGGTATGCACCTGTAGTCCTAGCTATTTGGGAGACTGAGGGAGGAGGATGGCTTGAACCCAGGAGTTGGAGGTTACAGTGAGCTGTGATAGCACCATTACACTCCAGCCTGGGTGACAGAGTGAAACCCTGTCTCTAAAAAAATTAGAAAGTAAAAAATTTTGAAAGAAGAGTGCCTCTGATGTCTGTGGGAGTGTTCAAAAGTGAGGCAGATAGTTGGAGATGAAGATGACATGGCATCATTATTTTATATGTCATGAATTTCTGTTATGCTCTGAGACCTATCACCAAATGCATTTTGGGGCCAGCATACCTGGTATGTGTGGAATACTAGTCTAAGAGGCAACTGGTATTTGACGTAGTTAAGGCAACAATTATTTATTAATTGTGTCCTGTGTAAGGAGTGCAGTGCTAGGTAGGTCAAGCATTGGTCCCAACCTTTTTGGCACCAGGGACTGGTTTCATGGAAGACAATTTTTCCATTTGGCAGGGAGACGGGCAGAGCTCAGGCCGTGATGCCAGCGATGGGGAGTGGCTATAAATATGGAGGAAGCTTCCCTTGCTCTCTAGCCCACTGTTCACCTCCTCCTGTGTGTGCCCCCCTTCTTAAGTTTCATGGGGAGGTGTGGACAGTGGAAGGAGGGGTGGACCAGGGTTGGGGACCACAGATTCAAAAAAAGCTTAAAATATTGTCATTTTTGAAGGATTGTGTTTAACACATGTTATTGTGTTTCAGGAGGTATGCTAGGTTCTTTACGTATATTAATTCATTTATTCCTTAAAAATCTTGTCAAGGCTTATTAACCCTACTTTATGGAGGAGGAACCAGAAGCTTAGGGTTAAGTAACTTACCCAAAATCAGGGCGGCAGAGATTAGACTGTAAATCTCTTTGGCTCCGGGCACATACTCATTAATTCAATAAGCATTTATTATACACATCCTATATGCCTAAACTACATTAGCTTCTGGGGTCTTTACCTTTAATTAGTTTAAATGATTTTCATAATATGATAAATACTATAATAAAGGTGCTATAGGAAGATTGCCTGCATGGTTAAACATTAATGCAGGACAGTCTTTGTTGTGTGCATAGCAGAGAGTTGGACAACCAAACCTGGTAGTGTATTAGAAGGCTCCCTGGAGAGGGGAGCCTTAAAACACAGATTCATGGGTCTTACCTCAGACCTATTAAATTGAAATCTCTAGGATTAAGGTCCAAGTAGCTGTAATTTTTAAAGCTGCTCAGATGAATGGTGGTAGCCTAGTACCGTAATATTAAGGAAAAATGAGAAGTTGTTGTGGACTTAGAAACTCAAAGATGCATCAGACGCAAAGAAGGAAAACCTTAAGATGAGCCTTTTGAGAATAAGATTTGATTGAAGAAGAAAGGAATGTCATGATAAAAATGGCATTTAGAAAGATTAACCTGGTCATTGTAGGAAAGTTGGATTTTAATTTGGATTGCTTTTTATGTGTTGAAGAATAGCTATAAAGCCCTGGGAGGCTTTGGATTTTCTTTTGAAAGGAACCTTCAAAGTCACTATATCAAATTCATTGATTTCAGGTGATCTGACTGCATTTTTACACATATCTGAGAAGCTACTTCACCATCTTAAAGGATAAATTCACCTTGCTGTAGTAATTTAGGGAAACAGAAATGTGTTTAACTTTCTAAAGATTGGTGTTGTTTAGCCCTATCACAATGTCTAGTCAAAAGCTATTATAGAAGCTGGCATAATCTCTACACCCATTTGTGCACTTGTGCATGCATACATGCATAGTTTGTCATATGATCAGCATGGTAAGTGATGATTGAGTTTTTTTTAATCTTGTACTCCTTGGAGAATCTGATGAAAGCTATGAACCTTCTCAAAAAATGCACATACACAGAATTTTTATGTCATTTTAGGCTTTCACTTGTCCTCTACAGCCCTTTTAGAGCCCCCTCGAGGGTCCGTTGATTCCTGCTAAAAGCCCCCATAATACAAGTGTTGGGCATTTTCTTCTCTTTAGGCATAGCGTTAAGCACACATTAGGCAGGCAGTCTGTTTGAAAATTGAATAAGTGAATGAAAGTGACAGAAAAAAATTCCAGGGTGTGGAATGATGATCACTCTAGTGATCTCTCTCAGGGTTACTTTTATACAATCTTAGCTCTGGAGTGCTGTGCTCTAAGGAGGGGTAGAATGAGGCAAAGAAGCGTCATTCATTTGTGTGTGTGTGTGTGTGTGTGTGTGTGTGTGTGTGTGTAGTCTGGCTTAACTCAAACAAGGCCTCTTTGGATTCTTAAGTAGAATCATACCAATATGGGAAAAATAGATAGGACCCTTCTCTGAATGCAGACATGCTAGTCAGCTGTAGACATTAGTAATACTAACTGCTAAGTAATACTAACAGTAATACTAATTGTTTTGCTGCTAAGGAGTGTGAAGAAACAAAGGATGCTGTAGAGGTGGGTTACTTTTCAGGGGATTTGGTTTTGTTTGCTGTGTGCCTAAAATTTGTGGTACTGGGCAGATTATTGACAAATTTAAAATAGTGCTGTCTCCCTTGTTTATGCATTGGAAGACTTAATGTAGTTGATAGGCCTTTTCTTCTCAAGTTGAGCTATATATTCAGT